CAGTGACAGTGACGTCGAGGGGGAATTTGAACCTACCGATATGACTGACAGGACTGGTGCGACTAATATGAATCAAAGTATACCAACTACGCCGAGTACGTGTGAGACGCCGAGTACGTATGAGACTTCGAGGACGTATGATCCCGTCTGGGCGTCCACATTAGCGGCCGCAGCCCGGGTGAAGAAGCGGCGGCGCAAAGTCGGCCCGTTAGCCATGGACATCACCAAGGAGGCACTGAAAAAAGTAGTGGAGAACTTAATTCTCCATGACAAAATTGTTCACATATACTTTGATGATTCTTCACCAACGGACGAACAGTGTGTTCGCAGACGGTTGACCGGCTACATGGATGCGGAAGACCAGGGAGCACAAAACTGTCCTCGTGTTTGCGGCGCGAAGCCTGCTGACGGGATTCAGCGTTATTCTGAACTGGTACCCCAACAGCTTCTTTGATGAATTAAGTGAGGAGGGAAGGGAATCTGCAACTCGCGGACGATATTGATCTCGACGTCAGAGCTATCGTCTGCGAGAGAAATATGTGCAACATATGGAGGAGCGGGGAATAGGGAAGCGCGTGCAGGCAACTGTGGTGGCACAGCTTGGCGCAAAAAGGGCGTCCATTATGAAAGTTTAAAAGTTATATATAAACCACCAATAGTAGCTGTGGGCGACATTCTATGATTTTTATTACTGCTAGTTGGCTATTTGTTGTTGTTATCTGTTGTCACTTTAGTTGGTATATATTGTCAGAATTTAGGTGTAACGCAGTCGTGAAAAAAAGTCTTATGGACATTAATAAATGAAAAAGTTAACAAGAGTTACACACAAAAGAGAAATTTATTTATTTACTTCTTCTTTATACGATTATCTGATTGGAATTTCATTTGAAATGCTGTTTTTCATCAATGTCCCAGTTATCTTCAGTTACTTTTTTTCGTCAAATTAAGAGATCTTTTTACAAGTCATTGGAAATATAGATTCAAAAGGCATACAGCCCTCGCTAAAAACGTTATGCATAAACAAACAAGAAAAAAAAATTCTATATATAATAAAATAATCGAGGCTGGGATTAAATACTCTTTTCAATTATTTTCATTTAGGGTAGGATAATAGGTAGTAAAAATTATCAATTATCGAAACGTTGGCATGTCGAAAGACATAAAATCTTAATATATATTAGAAGAAAATCCCTTAATACTAAACCAGAGTAAATAATCAATAAGAAATTGAAAGCAGAATTTTAATGATGCGGTTCACTTATCCACGATATTCAATTTAAATATAGAGATTTTGTTTAGATATATGTTTTCATATAAAATTTTAAAATATATGAATTTTCAGGCTATTGTAATCAAATGGTTCTTTGCGTATCCCTAAAATTAATATTGAAAGCCATCTCCTAGACGTGTAGACATCCTACGTGAGAACTTTCCACAGTTGATTTTCGTTAATTTCACTGCTTACTAACTATTTTAATTACCGCAAGTAGTCGTCAGCGTCCCCAAAAATCTTACAAGTTAAAAGGGAGTAAATCAAAGATACAATGTACGCTTAACGCCAAAGTTTTCATGACGTTCAGAGGCTTATTTGACGGGGCAACAAAGTCGAACAATTCGCATAAACTACGCTGGGTAATTCAATCAATAGGACGAAGTTTGTTCTTTTTGGTGGAAATTCTTCTATATTATCTAAAAACAAATTCAAATGGTTACATATTAACATAGCGATCAAATTAAAAGCAAAAAACACACATTTCAGTCTTTTTTTTCAACAAACTACCCAATTATGAATAATAATTCACTAGCCATTCTTAGGGATACGATAAGTTCCATTATCGGTTCGTATGATTTCAACAACAGCTACATAATACGGTATAATATAATAAGAGCCATCAGCGGATCGTACAATTTGTAAGGCAATCAATGATATATGCTCAGCAGCAGCAGCAACAGCAACAAGTTCATCAACAAGCCCCAGCACCACAAGCTTTGTACACCGATATACTATTAGCTTCAGGTGGCAATGCGGGAAGTACTACCGTGATGCAGCAATCTTCGTTGACTAATAGCAACGGCGGGTGCAATGGAAACCCGAATGCAAATGTTGTCTCCACTAATAATAATATGCTGGGCAGCAACACAGCACTGCATCAACAGCACTATAATACCACGTATCCATACCATGCGGCAGCGGCTGCTGCTCAACATTTAGCTGCGAGTTCAGCAACGCCTCGGCTGATGGCACATAATCCAACTTTGGCACGACCGCCGCATGGTACCTTTCGTTTACCTGGTTTCCAGATACCCAATGGGGAACTTAGTTATCAGACTTACCATCCAGCGGGGGATATCACATTTCTGTCCGGTGCTGCTCCACCCGGTATACCACCAGCCGCCCTGAGAACGACAAATAGCGGAGCTGCCGTGGTAAGCAGTCAACCTATTAACCAGCCGCCTGTACCTCAACAAATACCACCATCATTACCACAACATTACATTACGCCGTCGGCTGCTGTGCTAGCGTCACCGTACAGCACGCTAACAATAGGACTTAGTAATACACCATTATCATGTTATAATTGCGGCTCGCAATCGCAAAGCGTCCATGGGCAATGTAACGCGAAGCGCTTTCTATAAATTAGACTACAATCATGCAGCGTCTGGGGTGGGCGCTGTAGGTGCCACACCTGCCACGCAACAACAACAAATTGCCAACAGTGCGCCAGACATGTCAGCAACAGGGCACAGCCAAAAATCACACGATACTAGCGATGCTATTGGTGTAAACTCATCGGTAGTATCGACCGCGGCGGTCTCTTCAAATGCGACGCTGACCGTGACAGCGTCAGCGTCAGCTAAGTGAGTTAATGATTGTAGAACCGGCTTGTTAAAAAGCTTTGTATGTGTAGGATTTTTCTGATTCTGAGATTAAGCAATGCGTGACGCATATTGCAGTGAACAGTGAAACGAGAAATGAAAATTTTGTTTACAATATCTTCAAAAGCAAAACGCTGACATGTGAGAATAAGCGTCCATATTTGTTTACAATTCTCAATATTTGAACATGTATTTGTGTAAAAATTGCCTGCATCTGGGAGTAAACATATAAAAATTTGCCGCCAACTGAAAGTCAACGTCTATGATTCTCAATAATTCCAAACATGTGAGAATAAGCGTCCATATTTGTTTACAATTCTCAATACATGAACATGTATTTAAAATAATATTGACTAATTGCCCAATAAAAAGAACCTGCGAATGGCTGGCTTTTAATAAACCTTTGCCCTAGTAGCCCAAATAGAAACGATCCAAACCAAATGTGCCCGTAAATACGGAAAGTAACACAGCGGTATCCAAATGATAGCCATTACTGAAATTATAAAAATGTATTAGTCGTTTGAAAGATATTAGAAATAGAAAACGTCCATTTACATAGCATATCATTTGTAAAAGTATTGTTACTGGTAGTCTCACATTCAATACCTTCAGCTGCGATGCCCAAAGTTCTATCGTATTATAAATGAACCATTTAAATTTGAAAACGTTTGCTGGATCCATCTTAAGCTCCTGTGCGTGTTGCCTTGACACCACCGGCTCAATTTACTTTGCTAATGTTGCTTAGCGAATTTGTACAACGTTGCCCGCAAATGATATTCCAAGATAAAAAGGATATACGTAACTTGCATGATGTGACCTCCCGTTTAGTAGATTCGCTGTCTAACGTGGCTGGATCCTGTTTAGAGCAAACCACGTGGTTACGGAAAAATTTAGCCGTGAAAGAAGACATTTCAGCGGATTCAACAACAGCTCGTACCAACAGCGGCGGTGCTATTTTACAACAATATTCTGTGCAAGCTCAAAGTTCTGGGTTCACACGTAAGTGAAGCTTTCCCGCCTGTATATGCATGCATGTATATTATTAACGAAAAGATACAATACACAAAGTGTTTATAAAAAATTTTAACGAATTTCCTCAAATACAATTTTTTGATATGTCTGCAAGGAAACCTATCAGAAAAACTTAATTTCATTACTATGTCCGAGGTCTGTAATCTTAATCTTAAATCTAGTCTTATCATCGTAATTTTAAACATATCTATTGAACAGGGTGAAAAACAGATACAATTAATTTAGTGTTGTGCGTGATAGACCAAGGAATGGCAATGCAATTAGGTGTTTCTGCATTTTGCACGACACATCAAAAATCTAGAACCGCATAATTTCTCTGCAAATTATTAAAATATATGATTTTGGCATTGCATTCTTTCAGTATTTGCACTGTAATTGCATGAGATTTAGCAGCAATAACTTAGCTGTATCGGTTTCGGGTTCGTAATTAGAGGCCTAGTTTGTTTTATATATATGTGAATGTTTGCTAATATTATTTAATTTTAACACTTGTTTTACACATTTTTTGTTTCGCGGTAAATCGTAACTTAACAAAGCCATTTTAGCGAGGGCGCGAACCTTAACAAATTTGGGCTATCTTTGTGGGCTAACTTCACTTCAGTAAATTATTGCCCCTTGCTCCAATTTAACAAATATCGAAGGACTCTAATGACAGATGTCCGGAACTGTCTTGTCTTAGGCGGCAGCATACGTAAGCAGAATTCATTTTGACACTTAAATTAACGTAAGTTAACTGTCTGCTAAATTATATGAATGCATTTTCAGTTACTACAATCATAGAATAATTGTGTCTCTTAGCTTCCTACCGTAATTCCCCTCAATAGCTGTACCCTAAAGCGATATATTTTTCCTCGTAATTGGAATAACGCATTAACTGCAGCTTTTTCGTTATTTTCTGTCATATTGGTTATCGTGCATATGCTGTCTTTCTCGTGTAATTTATTTTTATAATCATTTTATAAAATTTATTACTATAATTTTCTTGTTTTTTCTTATATTTAGTTAAAGTTAGCACGTTTTACGTATCAGAACAATTTCACTTAAACCGCATTTAAATATTATTCTTAATTTTAACTTAAATTTTTGAAAATATGGCGAATAACAGCAACGATGTTGAAATTGAATGGTTGAAATAGAAAATAATTCCAAAGGTTTTAAAAACCGGAAAACTTGCCAACAAATTTAGTGATAATGATTTTCAAAATATTACCTTGGAAATTGAATGGTTAGATTCTAATGAGTCCTTTACGCTAACCACTTGCTGCCGTGTGCATATAAAAAATTCGAGCACAGTAATGTTACTGAAGAACATGTACTATTTGTTAAGGTATATTTGTCAGTGAGTAATTAAAATAATTAATGTTAATTAAAACTAATTATTTACATGGAAAAAGGAATATTTCGCAGGAACGTGCATTGACGGTAGTGCTAGGTCTATAAACCGTCAAAAGTAATGAAATTTTCTATAAAAAATTGGATCTTTCATATATCTTTTTATTTTATTTATTTTCACCCGCTGTACCATAGATTCGCATAGGAATGGAAATCGAAGTTCGTAAAACATCGACTAGAACGGTATCCGAAACCAAAAACTGAATAGATAAACAATTCTTTACCTTATTTGGGTCGATATTTTTTACATAAGAAATACGCCAGTCAAAGCAGAACTAGCATGAAAGAAAAAGTAATTCGTAATAGCTCCTTACTCGTGATTTTAGATTTTATTTGCTATTACTCCAAGGACTATCAACAAGGAAGAGGTTCACTAGTTTCTGTGCGTCACAGCACGTGTGGTACAAGCGTGTATTAAATTTTGTGTACGGGCATACGCAACACCCAGAAGGACTTGAGATAGAGCTATCTACCATTTCTAAATCGATCAAAACCACTTTTAAGAAATCGGCCCGTCTTATATTTTTCTACCTAACCTACCTAAAATGGTGTCCTTTTTATTATTATTATTATTATTAATTTCGCTAGAGAAATAAATTCTAAGACTAAACTCTTAAAAGCACTAGCATCTAAGGCTATCGGCTTTTATTATTATTATTATTAAAAACTCTACCGCACTTGAGATTCGAACCCACGACCATTGACTTGCTAGTCGAGACTCTTGCCTACTCGGCCACTCAGGCGGATGGTGTCTTTTTTAATATTTCAATATTTCATACTAAAAGAATTTTGAAGAAGAAAATTGTTCGGGTCGAACCAGCGGATGTGACGTCTTATTTTGAAAAGTCCTTTTATGACTAATTCTAATAAGATAAATGGCATAGGTATACTAACGTGTTTTGATACAAGGGCGAAAATATTTCGAATCGAACTACTTTTTCGGCCACTCCTCCTACAAAGACTTATTTTGAAAATTCCTTATACAACCAACTGTATTGACAGAGATAGGGCAAGGTATTTAAGAATAGGTCGTGGCCTACTATTTTGGTTTTCATTTTTATTTCATTTATATTTACTCTCTAACAAAAAACCTCCAATTTACTCCAAGAAATATTTGATAGTATCAACTTTAAAGCCTTATTTAATAACGAAATATTGGCCTATCAAAAAATTTTACCAGGTTTAGAAAATTTTGGTCAATGTCAACTTAATTCCGCTATTTATTATTACGGCGAACTGCTGAAAAGCTTCGCTACAGTTATACTGATGGTGCATCAGCAAGACTCGAATGAATCTCTCGTTGAAACATGCATTATCGGTTGCACAATATCGTGGTTTAGAATTTGCGATGCGCGCGCTTAATCGTGAGCATTTCGATGAGCTAACGAATCGCTTACGAGAATCACGTTTTGCCAGTGATGTTATCAATCCCGAATGGGCTCTCAAACAGAGCGTACATAAACCTTTACAGGCAACCCAAAAATATCAAACGCAAATAAACAAAGAGTTCCTCGAAAAGTTTGAGAAACTGATGGGTGATAATTATGAATATGGACGTAAAAGAGTACAACCTCGTGAACCTTACATGACCGTGTGTCACGGCGACTATTTACGAAATAACGTCGCATTTAGATACAATAAGGATCAACAGCATCAAGACATTTTAATGTTTGATTTACAAACCTTCAGAGTGACATCACCGATATTAGATTTTACAATTTTTTTATTATTGTCTACCTATGCCAAGGTGCATTGTAAAAATTTTAATGAAATATTTCAAATGTATTGTATGAGGCTAAAGGAAACTTATGAAATATATGTTGGTAAACCAGTACCAGAGTACTTTCGGTAAGATTATGACTTGAATTGGAAATATAAAAATTTTTTGGAATATTTCTCTTTTTTTTTTAGCTTAAATTGCTTACGAAGAGAATATACGAAATTTATGCCTTATAGCATTGGAATATCTTCTGCTTTTCTACTCCATCTAATAGAATCAATTAATTTAAATAGTCAACAGTTTTTTTCCTGCAAACGGTCCGAGGAAGAGATAATAAATGATATTATGATACGAGGTGGCATTGAGGTTGATCGGGAATTACACTTGTACATTACATGCTACAAGTGACAGATTGAAGTTTTTTTGGTTAGGATTGGGCAATTTGTGATCAGATTTCGACTAAGTAAGAAAATGTGTTAAGAATATGAAAACTACTGATGTTACATGAAAGGATACTTCGCACAAATTGTAATACCCGTTTTTAGATAAATTTGCCACCTCTGATGAATAGATGAGAAAAAAAGTCAAGGCCATTTCATCTCTTAAATGCGAAATACTCACATATCTAGGTCTGCCACGCAGAGTAAGTTTCAGTTTTTTGTTTTATTCTGCACATGCTTGTTGTCTAGCCGAATTTTCTCAACGAGCTTTTCCATTACTCTTGAAAATTTCAAAGCAATTACCTCTGATTTTTAAGTTACAATATTTTTGTTTCGGTGCACGTTGCCACGAGCCTATTTTTAGATTTCATCAGTGGCTATCAAGGGAGTACAATTAGCTAATTTCACGTTTGGATTTTAAGTTTTTCACCCCACATTAGGCTTGCCCGTATTGAAATAATAAATAAGCTAAGCGAACAAAAGTCCACTCGCGTTGCTCAGTCTCAGGATCTGTCTGTCAACTATATAATAGATCATTTACCCTTGTTTGTCTATCGAAAGCACATTCTTGTGCGCAGATTATTAGTACTGCTTTTCAACAAAATAATTTTGACATATCGTCGTTTTTCCTACATCTCTGAAACCAATTAGCAGCAAGGAATTTGATTCTGCCATCTCCGCATTAGTTAGAACGAATTCTTAGCATTCGAACGAAACAGTTAACCAAATAAAAAAGGATGCATTTATAACAGTTACAGGAACAATGTTTCCTTGAAATTTAATCGAATTTGTTACAGAAAAGAATTTCATTACAAAGCCTAAAGCTGTTCTTAATGAATTGGTTCTTCGCAGATGTGCCTTCTTATTTTCTTGAAACAAACCTTTCATTACAATTGGTAGAAGGGCTCTACTTTTTCTTTCATTTCCTTTATGTTAATCCTTGGCGGTATTTCATGTTATTGTAAACATCGATGTCAAGAAATATTATTTCTTGCAATGTCATACAACCAATCATGGAAATGAAGTGAGTTAAAAGGAACTCCGGCATTTTCAGTTAAGATGCTGTGTTGCCACATTTGTAAAACGCTCTAACATGCGCTGATGTATCGTTAATGTGCATCAATAAATTTTTGTAATGGGCATTGCATTAAATTATACAATTGTATCAGGAATTTACTGCGCTTAACGTCCCAATCACGATATTCGCTGCTATGGTCTGGTGGCGACTCATCTTGTGTCTTAATCTGAAATTAAATAGGAATAAATAACCAAGTTATAAATGACACTCAGTAAAGATAAATTCAAACTCACCATTGGAATACAGCGAATATTTTCAATAGGGGGGAGTTGGCGCGCGGGAGAGCTGACGCGCGGAGGACTTGGAAGGACGTGGCATTCGTATCCGTTTTCTCCCTTAAGTTTTTTCCAGACAGCAGCGTAAATATGACGAAACCAAGTAAATTCGTTCGGTGCAGCACGATCCCGCTGTCTGGAAGAAGGCAAACTGTGACACGATAGTGGATGCTTGCCGATGTCGCCACCACCATATGTTGGTGCTTAGCGGCGTAACACATCTTGTAGGCGTTGTTAAAAGCATCGTGGACCTCTTTTGTTGCGAATGCCGGTTTTATATATTTGGAGAACAGGATTAAATTATTTTTCACATTCAACCTAAAAACTTTACACCAAAAAAACTTACACCAAGAAACTTACACCAAAAAAAACTAAACCAAAAATGTGTAAAAAAAATTCTTCTGATTTAAATTTCAAGAAAATTTACGCCAAAGGTTTTTAAGAAAAATTCTTCTGATTTAAATTTCAAGAAAATTTTCGCCAACAGTTTCTAAGAAAAAGTGTTGCTGCCCATAATATCATCATGAGCTTGTGTATGCAACATAACATTAGATTAGAAAACTCCCACTTTTGTGTCGAAAGCTAAGAGCCTAGGCGCACTTTGAGAAAACTTTGTGGAGCACATCATGTATGTAAAAATAGATTTAAGAACTTGTTATTTTTTAAGAACTATACTTTCGCAATTGTTATATTTTTAAACAATAATCTTACTATTCAAACATTAGCTAAATGATAATACCCGGAAGTATGAACTAATTAAAGCTAATTGCTAAGAAATAACAATATCAATGTTAAAAGAGGATAAAAAATGCTAATTTACAGAAGACGAAAACAAAGAAAAGAGTTGCTTAAGAATAACAAAGTTCTTTAAAGCGTAATAAGACTGAAGGGACCACGTGGTTCATAGGCGTCAATTACGTTAACGGGTTAAATATTCAAACGTAATGGCAAAGAATACCAAATTTTTTTTATTCGTATGCGGGAAAAATCATCTAAACTGGAAATTTGGTCGGCTTACTGAGTGATACGAACGGTAGCATTATTTTTAGGGCAGAGGATCGCTAAAGTCGCAGACCTTGCAAAGTATGCGCTAAGGTGATTCTTCTAAGTGTTTCTAATCGACTAACCGAATGGTGCTACCAGCTTGTCATCTTTTTCTTTCGTTTGTGAAGCCGGTTTGGCTCTGTAAGCCGAGAAAGTATAATCCAGCGATTATTACGAGTTCAAGATTCGCTCTAAATTGTCATCCAAAAGACATATTAAAACACACAGATAGACAGAAATACAACATTTAATTCTCAGTACCAGGGATTGCTTTTAAACATACGCAAACAGTGTACTGGAATTTGTAAGGAGATCTCTTTTAATCATCTTGGGTATAGCGTCGTTTGTTTTGACATGGGCCTCGATTCCTTCTTAGTTTTTGTTTACTTTTATTAAAAAACATATGTATTTTTTCTCATTCTGATTGATTTTTGCCCGTTTTTAGAGAGACCTCGCGTTTGAATTTTGGTAATTTTGAGAGTTCAATTTTTACATGTGTTTTTCAGGGTAGAATATTTGCAACATATTGAAAACAACTCTGCGATGAAGGTGGTGAACGGAAAAGTGAGACAATTTGAATTAATTAGAGGATTGAGAAGAACAATAATAGAAAAAATTTAAAAATGTCCAAGTAAAATAAATAAATAAATTGATATTTGTTACATTTTCAAATTTTCGTTTTATTTGCTTTTTATATAAGATAAGGAAAATTTATTTAGTCAGAAAATAATCCTACAGGTGTTTTGAGTACAAAATTTCATGCAAGTGTCAAATATAAACAAAAACAAAATAAAAATGTTGGGGACATAACTATACCAACTACTGTGGAATAAAATATGAAGAAGAGAAATATATAATATTCATTTCCAATTTTTCATAGGGGCGCCACGCTTTTCTCTGTTTTTAACGTTCTCATTTATTCACAGAACTCATTTTAACAACTTTGCTTAAAAAAGAACACTGCCCCTTAGTTCTTAGTCTCTAAGTGCACCGTTCATTTAGCATAAAGTTGTGTTCCTTAATACAACTTTTCTTTCAGCTTATATAATTTTAAAGCCTTCATACATTGAGTTTCTTTTTGTATTAAAATTAAAAAACTTTGCTCGTCTGCTTCCATCAGTACGATGAACTAAAATGTGGAATTATATGGCGCGCTTAACAGGGCCGCGAAAAAAGATTATTTTTATTCGAGTCGCGCGATGGTTGTCCTACTTAGTAAAGAAGGCATTATTGAAAGGCATTCAATAGTACACGCACAAAATAAGTATTCTGAAATTCATTTAATTCATTCGGCTCGTGCTATCATTTCACTTTTTTAAAAAACGCACTTTAATGTTTTTCTTCACCATGTTGAAAAATCGCCGAAACCCATTTTGCTCGAAGGTTTTTTATACATTGATGATAAATGCGGCCTTACTTGCTTGCAAATTTAAATAAGATTCATTTAGACGTTTTTAACTTTTATGATCATTTGCAACATTTTCTTGTTTTTCAACTTTTTCTGCTCTTTCTTTGCTCAATTGTTCGACAGCTTCTTTAAAAGGATCGACAAATACTTGAGCTGATCCTTTAATAATATCCAAAATCACATTGACAATAGTCAACGCACTTTTCAGACATTCACCACCTTTAGCAATTCCAGAACTATCACATCCTACGTATTGCTACGTATTCTGATCAATTCAATTTTATTTACTAGCATCCGGACATAAATATGGACCCATTAATAAATATATAAAAATAGTTCACTAAGTAAAAAGTATTATAGCATAATAAAAAACAAAACACCTTCAACAACTTCTTATTAAAATTAATTTATTCTGAGATTAGCTGTTTCTTGTTTACATCTAAAATAATCCGCTGAAGTTGTGTCAAACTGAAAAATAATCCGTTGAAGTTCTAATGAAATGAAGAATAATCCGTTGAAGTTGAGTAATATTTTTTTTGAGAAATATTTGCCTGGGGGCAATAACATTGCAAGAGACTTCTTTGGTATGCAGAGCTTAGGAAAAGATATTAGAACGGATGACAACTTCTCAATAATAATAATAATAATCTCACTCAGGTGCACTTTAAATTATGAATACGTCTTGACTTACGCGCCGCGACAGCCAATGTGTTTAAGAAATTTCAATAAAAGCAACGAAAAAAAAATAATTTTTTTTTTAAATGCAAGTTATCTGCGGATGTGATTCCGATTCCAACAAGTTCGTCGTCCGCTTCTCAACAACAACAACCTTATCAACAATTTATTTATTTTTTTTTTTTTTGGTATGTTTTAACGGAGATGGAATATCAACAATTTATAAACAACCATTTGGTTGTGTTTCGGTTTTTATCAATTTATAAACAACAGCAATACCATAATCAACTGTTTTCCCAAGAAAAAAGATTAAATTATTTAGGAAGAGATGTAAAAAATTTTTTAATTGAATAAACGCAATTATTAAACTCAGGTAAAAAAGCTGTAATTTGAAGAACGTTTTCGGATTAAAATTATAAAATTGCATTTATGGTTGAAAGGCGGAAAAATTAAAACGATATTAATTGAAAAAAAAACTAGTGAAAATTGCCCAAAAACGCGAGAAGAAAAATGTGTCGCAATCGGAGTTGGCTGGAGGCGCTTGGAATAAACCAAAAAACCGTTTATCATTGGAACATCCAAAATATTTATATAGTATTGTTACGAAAATCCCAAATCCAGATAATGTCAGCTAAGTAATTTTCGTAATAATATATTCCCTAGAGAAAGAAAAACCAAATCAGCATTCGCAGGCACCTCATGAAGCTGCAGGCCGATGAAAACGATTAGCGGAAGAGCAAACAAGTAAAAGCTAAGTGCATATACGCAGGCTCGTCATGCAGGTGCAGGCCGATGAAAACGATTAGAGGAAAAGCAGGTCGGGATTAGAAATAAAACCATAAATTTAGGTTTAGTAACATGCTTGTAAAAATGTACATAAATAGAATATTTGTTGAAGCGAGAGTTAGTCGGGCAAGAACATTTGAGCTGAGAGTACGGCCAAAATAAATTGTGAACTGTTACTGTTAAGAAATATAATTGTAAATAAATACTCCTACTGTTGTGGAAGACAAAGTAGTAAAATAAAAGAACTTTGAAGTGTATTTCTCTTGAACAATATTTCCGCGATACGGACTATATCTTGTAAAAAGCGAATTTCATAACAATATTTTAGAAAAAAATACAACGGTTTCCGAGAGTAATAAGGGATTGTTTGAAACGATTTTCCTTTATATACGGAGGCTATTGAAAAAAAAAATTTTTTATTTTCAGTTTTCAAGAACGCTTGGTAATTATACATCAACCAAATCGTTATTAGAATAATTTTGTAGAGATTCCGTGCCCCAACTTCCCTGTTGTTCTCCATTTTCCCCTTGCTAACTTTTTTATTTCTATATTACAGGTGATTTGGGTATCGACGAATGGAATGAGGAACGAAACCAACATTTTTAACAGATGCTAAATGTATGGACCAATTTCATGGTGTAGGAAATCTTAGCTCGATGGAGCAAATGATTTTGGAAAACAAAGAAAATTTAGATTCTCAAGCTATAAAATCAAGTATGGCCGATGGCTGCATGAAAAAACAGAAGCATAATAATAGCATTGAAGTAAGGCTGCCACTCACTCCAACTGAAGTGGACGCAGCAAGTAAACATTGTATTCATAACGGAAATAGGAAACCAACTTTAAATAATTATGAGAGCGAAGATCACACTAAATTATCAGCTAACTTGCATCCTCCATTGCTCTCTTGTCATCAACATTTTTTTAAACAAAATAATTATTTTATAATTTTATTGATTTACGTTCTAAAAAAAAATACATTAACTTTTATAAAAAAATAGCCTTATCTTTATTTATTAATGTTAAAAGCTGAATATTAAGGTCAAATGTGATTTAATTGTGTTGATTATTAACTGTTAAAAGAAGACAACGAGGTCGAGAATAAGCGTATATGTTTGTTTACACTTCTCAAAATTTGAACATGTGTTTGTATAAAAATTCTGCACTTTAGACAGTAAGCGTATATGTTTGTTTACACTTGTCAATAATTGAGCATGCGCTTGTAAAAAAATTCTGCACTTCGGTCTCGAGGCGAAAAACCCTTCGCATCGTCTTAGCAGTTTGTTTGGAAAACTCTGCATTTTTTTGTTAACATAGTCACGAAAGTTATAAGTAATGGAAAGGAAAAATTCTATTTTTGAGCGTACAATTATTTCTAAATTGTGAATGCTTTTCTTGAGAAAGCTCCATGCGAAAACAAGTCATCAGAGCGACTATGTTTGACACAGACTGACAGTCATTAAGAAATTCAAAGTAGTGTTCTTGAACCGCTATATTTGCTGACTATCCCCCAAGAAATTTAAAAGAAGTCTTTTGGTTAATCTTACTTGAACCTTTTCCAATCTTTTGTTGGGTTGAAGCTGAGTCAAACATTCCCGCAATCACCAAAAGTAGATTAGCTTTAGTAGAAAGGTTTTCAATTGCTTCTTTAAAAAATTTACCAGCAGAAATCAATAGGAAATCATCGGCACGTTGAAAAATATGTATGTATGCTACCATCCAGAAATTGATGCAATTTGATAATATATAGATTGAAGAGAACAAGAGTAAGGCGGCTGCCTTGTGGGACTCCCCCATGAACTTCAACCTGTCAAAGTTCATCCCATGAATTGAAATTAAATTTAAATTCCACAATCTCAAATGAAACGGTATTTCAAACCCACTAAGAATTTTACTTTTTTTTATTCAGACAACGCAGTCATAGGCTTTCTGAATGTCGAGAGAGAGAGCATCACTACTTCTTTTCATCCTTCTTTTCCCTTCAACTTGCGAAAATTAAATTATTTGTACACACGTTGGTGAATTTGTATTTTTGACTGAACAAAGAAACATCAGGTACGAGATTATGTGTAAATGAGTCATCTCTGCCTTTGGTATCGGAACAATGTTTATACCACGCTATTTATTTGGAATGATGTTTTTAATCCAACTTTTATTTATGGCGTTCAACGAAGCAGACAAACTTGGATCAGAGTGAACTTTGATCACATCATATTTAACACCGTCACATCCCGCAGTAGAATATTTCTTTCAATGCGGAACTGCCATAAGCTCATCTAACAAAAAAAGTGACATGCCAATATCAGTTTATTTGTTGGCTTCATTCTATATTGGAAAATTAAAAGTTCTCTTAGTGTGACGATGACCATTTAAGAAATTCCAAAATTATCTCGTGTTCCCATTAGTGCTCAATTATTCAATTAGAAGAGCCCTATGCTTCCTTTTTGCTTTTCTTACAGCCACTTTCCATTCTTTTTGCAACTCTCTAAAAGATTTAAACCTGACGGAACTAGAATATCTTGAGAGTTTTTGTTTGAGGTTGCACTTTGGGAAAATAGCAGAAAGTGACGCATTTTTGATTTCATCTTGAAATGTGTTTTCCAATAACAACTTCTGGGGTATAAAACCATTAATTTTTAAAACTACGTTGTCCTAACTTTCAAAAATTACGGACAGGTGGCGACTGTTGCCGAGATATACATCGTTCGTAATTTTCCATTGAGAAATTAATTGAGTAGAATTTGAAAGAGTTTGATCTAACGAGCTTTCAAGCCTCAGACCACCAATTTTCAACAGTTAGAAAATTTTCCTCACATTTCAATTGTTGAAATAAGATATTTTCTGTATTCATTATACTGTTAATTTGTTCTTTTTGCTTTCTTTTCGTACAGTCTTTGCTACGAATATTGTCAGAAGATGCATCACAAGCAAGACCGGCAAGCAAGATATTGCGAGGTTAGTCAGTTTCCCGTTTTGGATGAAATCTAATGCATGGCGCAACTATAGATTATACGCTTATTCTCAGATTCTCAGGCAATTTTTATTGAGAAGTGTAAACAAACGTATATGCTTATTCTCAGTTGTTTAGCATTTTTACAAATTATTGAGAACATATACGTTTATCCTCGCTTGGTTGGCATTTTTATACAAATTATTGAGAATATATACGCTATTTCCGCCGAATTTTTATACATGCGACAGCTGTTCATAAACAAAATATGAAAATTATTTTTTTGTATCCGCCTGAGTGGCCGAGTAGGCAAGAGTCTCGACTATCAACTCAATGGTCGTGGGTTCAAATCTCAAGTGCGGTAGAGTTTTTAATAAAGCCGAAAGCCTTAGATGCTAGTGCTTTAAGACTTTAGTCTTAGAATTTATTCTCTGGCTAAGTTTATAATAATAATAATAATAATAATATTTTTTTGTATGCTGGATGTTATATGTTTTGGTAGGTAGGCAAGGACGTGCAAATTGTAGAAATCGAACATAAAAGACGATTTTTCTGATGAGTAGTAAAGATTTAATTTTTATGGAAAATAAATGTAAACAAAAATGTATTCACACATTTATTAAAAAAAAGGTAATAATATATATTATATATAAACACTAAAAAAGCTATAACTATAAAGTATTTGAATAGCAAAAAGAAACCAATGATAAGAAAAATACATTCAAATGTCATTAATTAAATAAAATGCGAAAAAATAGCAAAACTAATTTAAACTTGCATGGAGTTGAAGAGCCTTGAAGCATATGCATTTGTGTACATAGGTATTTTTGTATGTTATGTAAATACAATAAATAAAATATAATAAAATAATCATTTCTCGCTTCTTTAGTATATATTATCCAGCCAATTAGTATTTATAGCGATAGATGGCCATACCAGCAACGCCAATTAGTATTGAACCCATTAAGTAACCAAGCAATTTTAGCTGAAAGATAGGTAATCAATTTATAAAATCTAATTTTCTTACTCTACAAACGTTTGGTTTATTCGCTATACCTTAGAGCTTTCCCGCTGCTTTTGCGGTTCTTCGCTTTTTAATTTTAAGGTTGGTTTTTGAATGTGGTATTCACCACGTCGTTTAAAAACCGTTCGAGCATCGCTAGGTATATGCTCCACATCTGATCTCAGTGTTGAAATTATTATTATATCGCGTTCCTAAAAAAAACCAAGCGTAAGCAACACTAGTATTAATTCCAACATAAGTGTAATTTTTCGAAACTTGTACCTGTCCTTGGAATTCCTCCACAGTGCCAATTTTAGGCATTTCTACATAGGCATCAACGAAAAGTTTGCGCATATGTTCAGCTTGTTTTATGTACGGTGTTATAATGCCGATGGATTCCGGTTTAATGTTCTTACGATACAATTTAACTGTCATTAGGAAAACCTTCAAAAATGAAAAAAATGTTATGAGATACCAAATAGAGGAGATTGTGCTTTTAAAGTAAATACAACTTACATGCTTCGCTTCGTAAGGATTATACCACGACGGCGAGTCGTTTTCCTGCGTTTTTTTCTTTTTTAAAGTAAGTGTGATCAAATATAAGGTACACATAAATGTTTTCTTTTTATATCTACTCTTGCCGTTCCATGGGGAGATGAACTATGCTTTGATGGGAAGCATAGATGTGCCGAAACTCTCACCTCCCAGCGGTGATCCCCGGGAAACAGCTTCGGCCGGCTAAGAAGAGTTTAAGGTTTTGGGCTGCTAACTCGGCGACGAGTTTCTGAGAGATGGTGGAGGGGTTGGCTGGAAGAAGAGCTCTTACTCAATAGCTAGTTACTACCGAGGAAATATATTGAATGGTATTTAAGTACAATGAAGGTAGTAATCTAGCGAGTGCATGGTAGAGTGCATTAGATTAGTCTACCATGTTCAGTGCAATACCCGAGACCTATATATCTTGAAGAAAAGTAGTTCACTGGTAATGGCAACCAGGAAAGTATGGAGAATCCGAAGCAAGTTTTTAATAACCGCCCAAAGTATGCCATAAGGCTTTGCAAAACAAACTGGGAGCCACGGGGGTCAGGAAGCTCGCCTCACAAAGCCACGTATGCCTGCGGGTATATGATGGACTTTGTCCTTAAGTCGTAATAAATAAATTAATTATACTATTAATGCAAAAAGGAATTGACGGACGGCCTTCCCTTTGGCCGATTGATAGAAAATGTCTGGTAAATTAATTAATACATGCAAAAATGGAAAAGGGATATGACGAATAAGTTTTCCCCTTTTACCTATTTTTACTTTTGAACACATGTCACGGATGCCTGCGGGTAATGGTGGTAATTGATCAACAGCACAGTGGAAGCCTTATGGCGGAAGCAGTCAGTTGATCAATTTGTGAGTCCTGACTGCTTGGGTGCGGCCCTTCGGGGAGTACTCGTGGTGGTTGTGGTTGGCGAGTTCCTAGCTAAAATGGAACAATTGAGTGCAGCTAGGCCTCGCCATTCACCAGAGTGGGGTTTATTGTTCCACACACAATAAACTGTTCTGGACTCTGGTGCTGTTTAGGCCCCTACTCTGTGGGGATTGTCTAACTCGCCAGGGGGCGTAGTACGCTTAAAAGTGGCTTGGGCCACCGTGGAGTTAAGCCTTTCAGGCAGGAACCCACGTTAAACCCTTGCCACAAATTCTTGCCGTTCCATTAATTCAATTTTACAATGAAAATGGAATTTAACCATTAAAAGTTAAAAGTTATTTCATTATTCTATTAATTAATTATTATTATTCTATCAATTAATAAGGTTGGTAACAAATGTGACCCTCTTAGCCATAATAAAATTTGCAGTTGGAAGTTAATACGTCGTGCTGCTAGTTTCAGAATTTATTTCAATATGTAGATTGAGTTTATGAAATTATAATAATAATTTGTATTGTAGGTGCGGTCATTGCAAACGATTAAAACCTGAATATTTTAAAGCAGATGAATTAGTGCGTAATGATGATCCTAAAATCTCTTTGGCCAAAGTATATAATAAAAGCTACATTAGGACTTCTTCTCGTGAGATTTGGAAGACTTCTTCTGTTTGTTGTTCTACATTCTGTTTAATATTTGTTCTATAATAACAATAAATGGTACCAATCTTATAAATTATAATTACATCGTTAGCAGTCTAAATGTGCAATATCGCATGCATCCGGAAATATGCAAATAGCCGAATTTGTACTTCTATAAAAGCAATTTAAAATACTGCAAATACTCGTCAATTGTTCGTCAGACGCCTATAAAATCATTTATTACGTGTGGATTATACACGATCATTACGGCAACGGTAAAATTTCTAACAGCATGGAAGCAGAATTCCTAGCGAAATTATTAAAAGCTTGAGATGATCACATACCAAATAAATCAAATAGTTACGGTGTCATTACTCCGTACGCTCAACATCGTCAAATATTAAATACTGCCATAAAGTAAGAATATAATGTTATTACTTTTTCATAGCCCTCACCAGAAATACGTATAAACACAATTTTTCAAGTCGTTCTCGCAGCCTATCAATTGTTGAATTTCTAAAGACCCTAAAAACTATAACAGAAGGGTTTCACATATATTTTTAGTACAACTCCACATCCACTTTGAAAATGTGTGCGATTCGTCCCTCAAATTTTTTAATATCAATCAATTTTTCCATCAATAAATTAAGGTGGATAGCAGATATCTGTCCAAAAATGTGCGTTTACAAGAATAGATTGATTTAGAAAGACTCGGTACCGACGCTATGAGAAGTCAACACGAATTACTTTGATTCTGTGGCATATGTCCAATAGATTGACTTCGTAAATTTGGCTGTTCCAGGGAGATTCCGGATTGAAGCCTAATCACGCGGAAATGCAAAGTTTCTTACATCCCGCTTGTTGTAGAAAGGCATATTCTATTTATGCATGTAGAGCCACCTTTTATCATATCGATAGATTTATCATGTCGAATCGATTTAAGTTTGTGTGTCCATCTGATGTCTGTCTATGTCTTATTGTGTTCAACTTGGTCGCAACTTTTGCGATATTTTGATAAAGTTCCAATACACCGATATATTTTGTGATCAAAACTGTTGAACGCTTTTCCGAATGGATTAGATTTTCGGACACTTTCCTTATTTTAGAAAGCCATTATATGAACAATTATAGTAACCGAATTAGGATGTTTATTTAACGGTGGACGTGGGCGACTACAATGTTCTTAAAGTTTAAATTTTGGTAATATCATGGCCATAACTAGTTATTTAAATTGTCTTTTGAGCATCACTTTAAGAAAAGCCATGTTTTTATTTTTAGATCGGACCTGCTTGGCGTTCACTGCTAGACAATGCTCGTGAACGTAAATTGTTCTATAAAATAACCACCGAAATCACCGAACTACAGGATAAATTATATTCTTTTAAATATACGTTATATGGTTTGCGTTTTCTAATGACAATAGTAATCTAAAATTTTTTGGATATTAGGTATCTTGTTCCAATCTATACGTAAATTTCAATATCTAACTACTGCGCTAACGTCAGCTATAATAACGAACAGGAAAACTTGGAGTTCTTTAATTTCCAGTAGACTTTATACATTATATTATTTTTGTAACAATAAATTTTTCTTTTCCACGTCACGGTAGATGTTACAGCAAGCATGACATAATCTGCTTATTTGTTGGGTGCCTTCCGCTTCTCCCAAAACATTATATTGCATGTGCGAATTAAATTTTAAGCAATTTTTTGCTGATTTACTGCTCTTTGCGGAAACCAAACGAGAGAACTCGACTGCCAACAACGTCGTTGAGTTCTGTTTAGAATTTAAAATCGAGCAGCAAAAACTACAGGAATTGATCTGCATATCTTCAACATTACTACTCAAATCATGTTTAGTAGCTATTTTATCACCGGTGCGATAAACAGTAGATACGGTAGATGAGAAGCTGGTTTGCAAGTTGTCAATAAAAGATCTGGTAAGATTTTGCAAACTGCCATTTGTTCCTTTGTTCTTACCATAATAATGGCATTGTAACGATTTTAGCGAGCGGGCTTTTAAATAAAGATCTATTTCCAATTTGCTTAGGTTTCGAAGTGGTCGTACAAGCTTGATTCCATCGTTCAAACGATCGTCTATTAAACTGACATCATTAGCTGCTGTTGGGCCTCTTCCCAAGCAAATAGCCGTCAATAGATCTGAAGCCAAAGTTGTGTTAATATCAGCCTTAAAGGTAAACTGACAATTAAAATGCTTAGCTGCTCTTGCTATTAATTTATTCCGCTGATGTTTAACAAAGTCTTGACGCGAAGTTAAATTTTGTATTTGACTAATACACTCGACAAATTTTTGTTCTGCCGCCACATCTCGTTTCAAATATTCCACATTGATTTCACTAAATTGGCATATTGACCTTGCGACATCCTCTTCATTTTTTAAAAAAGGCACTATATAACTTTGAAATTCGTTATAGTTAGCAAGAAACAGTTGCATCGTCTTTAAGATAATCCTGGTGTCATCAAGTTCCATATCTTCATCAAAGATCAAAGCAAGTTCGTCTACGTATAAGACTATGACGGCAGAACATAAGCGTTTGAAATCGCCTTGACTCTGAGCACAATGTAACATGTCTAATAATACTACGGATTCAGCACTACCATCGAAAAGTAGCATGACCTTTGCATCATTGGGTAAAATTTTCGCCGATCCGAGAGCGGCTCTGAATTTATGACGAGCGTATAACAGAAAGCAATCGGAGCATTCAGCTTGACGAAATCTTAATTTATATATGGCTCCAGAACTGCCGCATTTATAGCAATTATTCATCTCTAGCACGTTTGACACCAAATTTGTACGAGGTTCCTCATCGGCTATCATGGTGTGCGCGCCTTCATCACCAAAATCCTCTTCTATGTTACACATTTTCTTATAAATATATTTACATTACATGTGGCACTTGTGTACATAGACCTGACAGCAAATCGATTCATTAAAATTATTCTAAACTATAAATATACGAATGTGAGCTGGACACAGTGTTGCTTTTCGTTTTCTGCTTCGCGCACGAAATGTCAAAGTAAAGCAGATTTTATGGTAGTATATGCAGTCGAATATACAGCTTTCTTTGCTTATATTGCGTTGCGAATATTCGCTAAACTTGTAAAATTTTTGCCCTCATTCTTCTTGGAAGGCAAAACAAAATTATGTGATTTGTCAAGTGGTCATTTACTTTTTTAATAAATAAAAAAGAAAGAAAAAAAAGTAAAATATTTTGCCACTTATTTCTATACGAGAAAAGGATTTGTTTCACTTTGTTAACTTTACTTCAAAAAATCACTTTTCGAAGTAGTTTGTGTCTTTAACAATTCAATGGTATTCTAATGTTTATGTAAAGTAAATCTACTCATGCAGTCAGTTCTTCAAATCTTGTGCTGTCGTAAAGCACACTAATTTTGCGGTCATCTAATTATGTAAATTGAAGAAAGGTTAAAAGCGGATTATTTTCTTGTGGAAGTGAGCTAAGATCAAACGTTTTCGTTTATATATCCCATATGTACGTTCTTCCACTAGTCATTCGTAACAAAAGGCTGTATTGTATCAACGACATTTACCATGTTGTAAACTTAACATAATTAATTTAAAAAATTTAGTATACAAAAATCATGATAAATAAACGAACAAACAAACATAAACGCAAATTGCAACAAAATACACACGGTACTTGATTTACAACAAAAACCACGCACGGTTCCACTTTTGCAGCGACAAAATACATATGGTCTCACTTCTAAAATGTAAATAATAACACGTGCATGGCAAATGTAAACAGAAAATAGAATTGTAACAACAAACAAGCACGGTACTACTTTTACGGCAACAAAACACATGCTACTGGAATTATAGCAAGAAAATACAGACGTTACTACTTTTACAATAACAAAATGCATATGCACGAAAATAGTAGTTTTTTTATAAATACTGGTTTTCAAAACTTTTTTACGTGGCAAGGTGTACTTTCGTATTTCATTCATTTTGAAAATCTGGCATCTTCGATCATCAATTCGTTTATTCGTTAACCATCTCTAATCGCTCTGTGACACAAATTGTAAGTGCGCTAGTGTTAATAAAAATTTTTTTATTTCAAAAAACCAATTTTTATTTAAATTTATAAAAAATCGCTAATTAATTATTGTTACACACTCTTAAAAAGTTGTTATCTGAAAAATTTAAGAAAAAAAACTGCTACTGGCACAAATATTTCGCCAAAAACTTTTCGCCTAAATAACGAGTAGGAAAATCGAGAAAAAAATTTTTTCGTTCTATTAACGAACGGCAGGGTGAATAGCATGTAAAGAAAAGAAAAATCAGCGCACTTAAAGCTTATACACACACACGTAGCAATTATGTTACAAATCGCGAATAAATTGTAAATTTACCAAAAAAAAAATAAGAAAAACTGTTACAATAAATAGACATTTAATGTCGGTGCAAAAAGTTGAATGATTTTTATTTCATTTTTCAGAAACCACGTGTTTTTTCTAAAACAACGCTTGGAAACATATATTTTACAAAAAAGTACATTTAATAAGAGGTGGAAAAAATTGATCAAGCATTAAAAAATTCCCGCTATAGCAACATCAAAAACTTATTATTGAAACAACATCAGCAATAAATACCTTCAACATGTTAATAAATAACACTGAAGCTTTAAAAAGTTGGTTGGTGGTAGTGCTGGAACCACTGTAAGTTGCAAATCGCAATGCTAGTTCTATACAAATAGCTTTTCTTATGCTTGCGTGATACATTTTCAGATGTGATGCAGACTCTTCAGCTCTAGCACGTTACGTATTGGCATTATTAAAAAAAGACAAACCCGAAAAAGAACTGAAACGAGTTATGATTGAACAATTGGATGTGTTCTTGACTGAGGAAACGAAATCATTTGTCGAAAGACTTTTTGAGGCCATCTCTACAGAAGAATACTTAAAATTGCCGCCTCCTGCTACGGCAACTAAAACGGACAAAGACAACGAAGAGACTACCACAGACATTGTAACGACCACAGACATTGATACTCAAACTTTGCGATCCGTTGCTATTGGCACGCCAGCAGGAACCGTTACAAATGTGATAAAGCAACATGAAAGCAATCATGGAACAATCAATAATCATGAAAGCATTAAAGTGACAGACGCTACTTCCACCACCACTTTAACCGCTAGCATGTATACGGATAAAAATCATACACCACCTATTGAAGAAGTGAGTATAATATGAAATAATATACACAAATTTTGCTTATGCGTTTTGGGCTGTGTTAATTGTTCTTTTTTTTTTTTTTTGGTTGTCTGCTTTAGAGCAAAACCAAAGATGTTCTCATTACCAATAATGCAAGTGCGGTCGCAGAACATACCCCGTCTTCAATATGGTCTCACCATCAACTATCTTCGCAACACAACCAATCACAACAACAGCTGCAAGCATATTCAGCTCATTATAATTATCACAATCCTTCATCAGGAAAGAATGAAACAGCATCATCCACAACGCATACTTATCCTGTGGGTGGTGGGGGAGGAAATGGAAACAACGACCGCCATCACCATCACCATCGAAGCGCAAGCCCTCCGACAGTTACCCGCACTATTACTGCTGATAAAGAAAATCAACCGAGGGAGAGTCGCAGGCGGCGAGCTTCGTTGCGCTCACGATCTCGATCACGCTCACGTTCCAATGAACGATTTTCACGCCGCTCTCGTTCTCGCGACCGTCGCATTAATGAACGCGAAAAATCCCAAAGACAATTTCGCAACAAATCGCCACCTGTTGCAGGTGGTTGCGATAATTCCAGGTACGAGCGCCGCCGGGGGGGTGGAGGAGGTGGTGGCAGTATTGGTGATCGGCGCCGTATGATGGTGAACAGCAGTAATATAAGCGGAGGGGGAGAGCGCAAGGCAAATGCTACAAGTGGTAGTCGTTCAGCGAACCATTCATCGAACTCACCACGCAGTCGCTCGCCTTCTTTGGATCGCGTTAATAAGAGTAAGAGATCTCCTAGTACTGGCCGTGGTCAATTGCGCGGTGTGGCTAGCTGTGCGACGTCGCCAGAGTCACGCCACCACCACGAGTCTAAAAAACGTCAAAGATGCCGTGATTTCGATGAGAAAGGGTACTGTGTTCGTGGTGAAACTTGTCCGTGGGATCACGGTGTTAATCCGGTTGTGTTCGAAGGATTAAACAACACAGCTTTGATAAGTATGTCGTTACGTGAATATAATCCTGATGCTCCAGATCTTTGGTCTCGCGCGGGACCTCCCAGTGCAGCTATGGTGAACGCTGCAACCCCGGGGACCTTAATCGCTAGCTCTGCAGCTGCTGGTATAAATCCATTTTCCGGAACTACACGTACTGGTGGCGTTATGATGGGCGGCCCCGGAGCACCTGTTGGATTTTCTCAAGTGCAAGGTCCTGACAAAGTCAGTAACGGCGCCGCGGATTATGTGCGCAATGCAGCTGGAGTTGGATTTCGGGCAGCAGCTCCGATGATACCTTTTCCTTTTAATCCGGCCGCGGTAACTACTCCTTTACAGCGCGAACTTATACCCATACCAGTGGTTGATGCCACTGGCGGAGCAGTCGGTGTTGGCGGCGATGTAAATGCCACCCTACAAGCACAGGGTAAAAGGCGTTTTGAGTTGGAAGACTCTGTGGCTATAGCCGAAGGGCCACCCAAACGTAAAATTCCAGCACATAGCCGACTTGGGCCACGTGTACCTAGCATGCAAAACTGCTCACTGGAACTACGCAAAGTACCACGTGGTCTTAACACTATTGCCCACCTGAATAACCATTTTGCCAAATTCGGAAAAATTGTTAACATCCAAATCTCTTACGATAGTGATCCGGAAGCTGCTATTGTAACCTTCTCTACACACGCCGAAGCTAACGTGGCATATCGTAGCACTGAAGCCGTGTTAAATAATCGTTTTATTAAGGTCTTTTGGCACACATCTGCTGACACCCCGATATCCGGAGATGGTAATACCGTCATAGGTCAACAGACGGGAGGAGGACGCAAGAATAGTCAATACCATTTAAATAATGTGCCAGCTATACCAACTCCATCAGCAGATTCAGCAAGAACGGCCAATGTTAGTCAAAATCAAGCTGGTCCGAATGTAAACAACAATAATAATAATGCAAGCATTCAAGATGCCACGACAATCAACACGACAGCAAACACAACTATCACCACCACAACTGCAGTGGTCGCCACCCATGTACCGACACCCTCCTTAAGACTCAAGAACAATGTACCACCACGCCCCGTTGGCGTAGCAAATGCTATTATTCGCAAAAAACAAGAGGAACAGGTAAAAGCTGTAGCCCAACTGGCCAACGGTTTACGCAAACGTAAGCAGGAACTTTTGCAAAGCTATTTAAAGCAAATGAAATCAGCTTTAGACTTAGTAGAACGATGTGAACCATCAGATCCTCAACGTGGTAAAACTTTGGACACAATCAAATTACTTCAGGGAACCATCGACAGATTACGCAAAGAAATTGCTACCGAACAGGAGCAAATGCAAGCTCAAATTCAAAATCAGCAACCACCACCGCCAGTGAAAAAAACTAAGGAGCAGCAGAAAAAGGAATTGCTTGATATTGAGTTGGAGCTATTTGCGCAACAGCAAGAGGGCAATGATACTACTGCTACACAAAAGCGGCTAGAGGAATTACAGCGAAGTCTTGGTATAGTGCCTGGTAGTACTCCGTCGTCTGCTATTACTCCAACAGTCCAGGGTTCCCCTAATATCTGGCCAAATCCAGTCATTACATGGCTGCGAGCAGGAATACCGCGCGTGCACGAAACTCCTATCCTGAAGGTTCCACCCGCGTAGACAGACGTCCTAAGACCATTGTGGTAACGGGTTTTAATAGTGAAGAAGCTGATTTTGTTCTAGGACACTTTAAGGTAGTTTAAAATATAAATTAAACTCCA